CCAACGAGTTGGTTGCGTATTTTGGCGCAATGAATTCGTTGCAACATTCTTTGAATAGTCTGATTTATCTATTTCTTTATCTTTTCTCAGGTTATGGCTTTCAATTGGATCAGGCCTCGCTCAATGCCTGATATAGAGCCTACTGAGGAGCACATTTGGATGGAGATTGATAGATGTGATTTCACACATTCTGCTTCTATTAGAGATAGATTGTCATGGCATCAGGAGATGCTGATGGATAGAGATGCATATGCGGGGTTATTCATTCGATCACCTCGATTTCCTGTTTTTGATTCAGAACTTCCTGTAGGGTATGATCCTACAGACTGGGTGATTACCCTCAGACTTCGCCACAGCGATGGTGGTTCTTTAGGCTGAATTGTTGAAGGCTTGAGTTATGGAACTCAGTATGTACTACAGCCTGCTGCAGATCTTGTAGAGCATACTGGTACCATCAGATTACTTAGTTACAGCCTATCTCGTCATGAGATAAGAGAGCAGCAGTATGATTCAGTGTTTGGGAGTCCTTTTAGGATGTTAAAGGGTTATATTTCTTGGGCCCGCCATGTATTGAGAGCACACATGAGGTGCTCAAGCGAGCAGGGGTTTATAGAGCCATATACGCCTCGTTGTTTGATTATAGTCGGCTTTCCTACGGCTGGCCTCATGCATTAGTTGAACACTGGGATAGTGTCACGAACACAATCTGGATCGGGCCGAATGAGATGACAATAACTCTCTGGGATCTATAGTTAGTTTCTGGTCTACCTATTTTAGGAACCCCCTATGAGGAGTACATTCCTCTGGACTATGATTTATTCAGTCGTCAGCCAGCAGGTGATTTAAGGCGAGGGGAGTTTATGTACTTGGAGGGTCTTCACCAGTGTTTAGCCCACTATTGTCGCCTTCAGAGACAGAGAGGTCATCGCCGTGGAGCTATTGTTTCTTTGGATGTCTGGATTGAGAGTTTTTTGGTCCAGGAGGCATATGTACTATTGGTTGCTCAACCCCATGACCCATTCGGTATGGGTATTCAGTCTCCTGGGTTGTCTTCAGTTGGGACTTTTGAGCCAGAGTCATTAGATGAGACACGGCCCATTTTTGCTAGGGGAGTTTCAGAGCAGATGTCTTTAGTGGCTTTTGTAGCCACTTGGTTGTGCAGTTTTGTCTTTCCAAGTCAAGACAGATCTTTTCGTCCCAGTACACTTTTGATGGCCAGCTTGATTGCTAATGGGAGACAAGTTTCTTTAGCCCCGGCCGTACTCGCACAGATATATTACGGTTTTGGACAGATTTCTGCCTCTTATGGGCGTCGACAGCGTATGGTTGAGGTATCATGGCATTATGTCCATGGATGGGTGCATATGCACGTAGAGGGAGCTTTTAGTTGTGCTGAGTCACCGGGCTACTATTCAGATAATTTCTTCCCCCTATTGATTCAGTTAGCCAGGGCGATCTCAGCTACATATAGGGCCTGGATCAGATTGTTTTTCTTTGCACCCTTGTACGTGGCTGGTCATTTTAGATTGGTTTACAGGTCTCTAGTTGGAGATTTACCCTCCCGAAGTTTAGGGGTTTCATTGTTAGATTCTTTGACAGAGAGGGGCAGACCTACTTTGCTTTCCAGGAGCGGCTTTGTGCCTATTGCTTCTTACTTTGTCAGCATGAGACCTGGATGGCTTTGTTATAGGAGAGATTGCTCTATAGTTTTGGAGGGGTATAACCCTAATAGAGCAGCACGACAGTTTGGCTTTGTTCAGGCCACTCCCTTGGATGGACTTCCAGCACTTCCTGGGGTGATAGATCATCGCCAATTGAGCTCTCTTTCGTTTTCAGTTTGTCTTGAGGTGGCTTCCATGACTTGGGCTTTTCTCCTTCGACTTGGGACAGGTTCTCGCTTTTGTATAGCACCCGTAGATTCTCCTAATGGTATTTCACATTTGCGTCTGGTCTGGATTCGT